GCTGGGTTTATAGTTTTATAAACATTGTGTCAAACCGTGACATTTTAAAAACATAAAAATGTCCAGAAAACCCAGGCAAAAAATGTATGCTGATAATTGGAAAACATTTTTTAATTTTTTTTTTTATTTCAGCATATTACAGAGGTACAAAGGTTTAGGTTACATATATTGCTTTTGCCCCATCCAAGTCAAAGTTTCAAACGTGTCCATCCCTTAGATGGTGTGCACCACACCCATTAAGTGTGAATATACCCATTCCCTCCTCCTTGCTCCCATCTGCCCAACACCTGATGAATGTTATTATTATATGTGCACTTAAGTGTTGCTCAGTTAATACTAATTTGATGGTGAGTACATGCAGTGCTTGTATTTCCATTCTTATGATACTTCACTTAGTAGAATGGGCTCCAGCTCTATCCAGGATAATTCAAGAGATGCTATATCACCATTGTTTTTTTTGTGTGTGTGTGTGGCTGAGTAGAACTCCATGGTATACATATACTACATTTTATTAATCCACTCATGTATTTATGATCACTTGTGTTGTTTCCATATCTTTGCAATTGTGAATTGTGCTGCTATAAACATTCTAGTGCAGATGTCTTTTTTATAGAATGTCTTTTGTTCTTTTGGGTGGATGCCCAGTAATGGAATTGCTGAATCAAATGGTAGTTCTACTTGTAGCTCTCTGAGGGATCTCCATATTACTTTCCACAAAGGTTGTATTAGTCTGCAGTCTCACCAACAGTGTATGAGTGTTCCTATCTGTCCTCATCTACACCAACATTTATTGTTTTAGGACTTTTGATAAAGGCCATTCTAACTGGAGATATGTGAAATATCCTTGTGGTTTTGCTTTACATTTCCCTTGATGATTAGAGATGTTGAGCATTTTTCATATGTTTCTTGGCCATTAGCCCGAAAACATTTTTATTCTAACTTTTTAAATAATCCAGCTTTTAAATCAAAATTACTAAATTCACATGAACTAGAAAAGCATTTGGGTCTGTTTAATTTATGAGGACTCCATTATATATAAGCCAGTCCAGAACCATGTAGGCATAAACATATAATACATCAACAGACCAAAAAAAAAAAAAAAATCTAAACAAATACACTCATTACACACACACACACACACACACACACACACACAGTTCCAATGGATTTTACCTCAGAACTTTAGCCATAAGATAGTAATATAAACTCACCAGTTTGTAAAACACAACTGCATCCAAATTTCTTCTGACAAAACTGGAACTTGTTCACATGATTAAACTTTAATTGCTCTGATAGGTAACTTAATTATTCCTGTGGATCAAAGTTTTGATAAAACTGCTTTCATGGTAGTTAGACTTTTTTTTGAGACAGAGTCTCCCTCTGTCACCCTGATACCAAGGATGTACCTCCCCAAAAGGAAACTATAAGTCAATAACCCTGATGAACATAGATGGCAAAAACCTCAACAAAATACTAGCAAACTGAATAATATTACATTAAAAAGATAATGTGCCATGATAAAGTAAGATGTATTTCTGGGATGCAAAGATAGTTCAACGTATGCAAATCAATAAATGTAGTACATCACATAAACAGAATGAAAGATAACCACCATATGATTACCTCAATAGACACAGAAATAACATTTGATAAAATTTGACATCATTTTATGAAATGAACTCTCAATAGATTAAGCATGGAAGAAAAATATTTCAACATAATAATGGCTATATATCACAAATCCACAGATAACATCATACTGAATGGGAAAAGCTGAAATCCTTTCCTCTAAGGACTGGAACAAGACAAAGATGCCCACTATTACCACTTTTATTCAATAAGGTACTGGAAATCCTAGACAGAGCAATCAGGCAAAAAAACAAAATAAAAGGCATACACATTGGAGAAGACAAAGTCAAACTGTCCCTCTTTAGAAAGGATAGGATCTTATATCTATTATAGAAAAATCTAAAGACTTTACAAAAAAAATCTTAGTTTTGATATATAAATTCAGTAAAGTTTCAGGATATAAAATTAACACAAAAAAACAGTAATGTTTCTATATGCCAATAATGAATTGGCTGAGAAAGAAATCAAGAAGACAATCTCATTTAAAACAGCAACAGAAAAGTAAAATACCTAGGAATAAATTTAACCAAAGAAGTGAAAGACCTCTACAATGAAAACTATAAAACACTGATAAAAGAAGTTACAGAGGACATAAACAAATGGAAAGATATTTTATGCTCATGGATCAAAAAAACTAACATCATTAAAATGACCACACTATCCAAACAATCTATAGATTTAATATAGTCTTTATCAAAACACTTATGCCATTTTTCATGGAAATAGAAAAATCAATCCTGAAATTAATAGGGAACCAAGAGAAAGCCTCAATAGCCAAAGTAATCCTGAGGAAAAAGAACAAAGCTGTAGGCAACACAATACCCTACTTCAAAATATATTACAAGGTTATAGTAACATAAGCAGCATGGTATTTGTATAAACATAAACACATAGACCAATGGAAATGAATAGAGAATTCAGATATAAAGCTAAATGTTTATAGTAAGCTAAGTATTTATTTATTTATAGTCAATTTTGTAGATTTAAGATCAATTTGATTTTTGACAAAAACACCAAGAACATACATTGGAGAAAGGGCACTATCTTAAATAAATGGTGCTTGAAAAATTGGATATCCACATGTAGAAGAAATGAAACTGAACTCTATCTCTCACCATATAAACAAATCTGCTAAAATGGATTAAAAACTTAAATATAAGATCCCAAACTATAAAATTACTAAAAGAAAACATAGGGTAAACATTTCAGAACATTAGTCTAGGGAAAGAGTTTATGGCTAAGACCTCAAGGGCACAGGCACAAAAACAGAAATAGGTAAATGGGACTACACTATTCTGAAAAGATTCTTCACAGCAAAGGAAATCAACAGAGTACAAGGACAACCTATTGCATGGAGGAAAATATTTTCAAATTATTCATTGAACAAGGGACAATTATCCAGTATATGCAAGGAACACAACTCAACACCAAAAAACCAAATAATCCCATTAAAAATGGGCAAAGAACATGAATAGACATTTCCTAAAAGAAGACATACAAATGGTTAACAAGTATATGAAGAAAATGCTAAGCATCACTAATTATCAGCAAATGAAAATCAAAACCACAATGAGATATCATTTTACCCGAGTTAAAATGGCTAGAATTAAAAAGATAAAAAATTACAGATATTGGCAAGGATGTAGAAAAAAGGGAACTCTTTTTATACACTCTTTTTGGGAATGTAAATTAATACAGCCACTTTGAAAAACAGTATGGAGATTTTTCATAAAACTTAAAAGAGAACTGCCATATGATTCAGTATTCCTACTACTAGGTATTTATACAAAAGAAAAGAAATCAGTACATCAAAAGGTTGCATGCACCCTCATGTTTATTACAGCTATATTCACAATAGTATCAAAGATACACCAACACAAAAATGGATAAAGAAAATGTAGCATATGCACACAATGGAATAGCATTTGGCCATAGAAAAGAATTAAATACTGTCATTTGCAGCAACATGGATGGAACCAGAGGATATTATGTTAAGTGAAATAAACCAGGCACAGAAAGACAAATATTGCATTTTTCACTTTCATGTGGGAGCTTGAAATGTCGATCTCATGGAAGTAGAGAGTAGAATGATAGATACCAGAGACTGAGAAGGATGTGAAGATGGTGGTAGGGGATGAGGGGTGGTTGTTAGTAGGTATGAATGTATAGTTAAATAGGAATAAGTTCTATTATTCAATAGAGTATGGTGACTATAGCTAACAACAATGCATTATATCTTTCAAAATAGCTAGAAGATAGGACTTGAAATAGTTCTAAGACATAAAAATGATAAATACTTAGGTGATGGATACCCTTTATATCCTGACTTGATCATTACACATTCTATTCATGTAAAAAAAAGTCACATGTATTCCATACATATGTAAAAATGCTATGTATCAATTAAAAAGTGAAAAGAAAGAAAGAAGGAAGGAAGGAAGGGAAAAAAAGAAAAGAAAGAAAGAAACCAATGAATTCATAATCAAAATATTCCTTACTTAACTAGGATGTCTGTATGCATTTTTGTTATGGTTGGCTATTAGGAAAAAAAGTTGTGAATCACCCATTTTTACAAGTTCATCTCAGATTAATAAAGAAGTCACTTTTCTAATGAGTCATTTGTTGATTTTTCTCAACAAGCAATACTCACCTGCTCTTCTAGATTTACCCATGTAAGCATCAGAGACATCAAAGTAATCAGGAACAGCAATTGCTTGCTGTGTGAATCACAGTAATCAAGCCACAAAGAAGGAGAAGAGAAACATGGCTTTTATTTAAATATATGCTGCTCCTAATTATCCTGGGTTTCTAGAACCAAGTGCAAGCTCTTTAGCCAAGACAGTATAGCCCACCATGTCTCTGGACAATTTCAGAATTATCCATTCCAAACGTTTATGTGAGCCTTTGACATAGGTGAAAAGGGACATGGCGGATAGAAAAATCCCTATTTTTTAGTTTCCCTGATGGACTATTTCAAAAGTTGAAACTGACACATCTGTCAATTTTTATGAAAGGCAATTTTTCTACAGCTGTCAGTGAACTTTAGCAGGAGCCAATAAGAGAACATGCAGAGAAACTGATAGAAAAATGGTAGCAATGGTAGATTGTTAGTCGGCATAACAATCATGGGCTATAGTGTTTGTGTTTGTTGGTTTGAATGAAAATTGACACACATTACACTAGAGTCAAAGCCTACCAATAATGTAATAAATCTCTGCCTGAGCGACAATAAAAGTTTAGATTAGTTTAAAATGAAATCTTTCATTGAATCACACCAGCAGTTTAAAGTTGTCATCTGTACAGCAAATGTTATGGTCCTTCAGCAGATCTGCTTTGTAGGGCCAATGTACTCACATGTGGTTTCTCAACAGGAATTGCTGTCCAGCACGGGACATCACAGTGCCTGATTGATGTGGGGATACAAAGGCCTGACGCTGGTGCCTCAATTAGGAAAACTTTGAATGATCAGCTCAAACCCAAGAGGAGGAGCTGAAGGGCCTCCCTTGCAATCGCATTGTAGAGAATGCTCAACCCAATGCTACCATGGCCAGATTTGTATGTCAACTTGGCTTAACTATGGTCCCCAGTAATTCAGATCCTAATCTTAGTGTTACTGTGAAGGTATTTTGTAGATATGATTAAAGTCCATAATCAATTAGATTTAAGAAAAAGACAATTTTAGATAATCTGCTTGGGTCTGATTCAATTAGTTGAGAGGTGTTCAGAGCAGAACTGAAACTTCCTGATGAAGAAAACATTTTGATTTTAGAAAACAGCTTCAGCCCATGGTGACAATTACAGCTGCCTTTGCTTACAGACTCTGCCTTATGGATTTCAGATTTGACTAGCCAACCAATAAATCTCTTAATTCATACCTCCTGTGTGTTCTGTTTCTCTGGTTGAACCCTGCTGGACACATTCCCTCATTTCTTCACAAGTGTATCTCTCTAGAGCACTCCCGGAACATTGTTTTCACATAACTCCAGGGAACACAGTCTAAAACAGTGTGCTTTAACCATTCAATTTTCTTCATCAGATCTGTCCAATTCAATGAACCAATTGCTTGGACCAAAAAGTTCTATCAATAAGCTCTACTGAGCAAGTTCATTTTAGAACCACCCCTGAGTAAAATGGCAGTTCATTTAGGCACATGTAATATTTTTTTCATGTGACTTTCACCCCTTTTGGTTTTTTTAAGCCAGGTACTTGTTTGATTTCATCTCTTTCAAAACTAATGGTCAAATTCTTTCTTCATCCTAATTTTATCTTCTTTTATGGCAGTTTCCCCATAAGTTACAGTACTTTTGAGTGATCACCTTCAATGAAATCCTTCCTGCCCCTCAAAACTATTAATACTTGGTTAACCCAATTTAACTCCCTTTTAAAATTTTTTACAGCAACTCTTTCAAATTGTTCAAATTACTCTCCAACTTTCTATTCCCTTCTCTCTGAGAAGGACTTTTTCTTTACCACTTTTTAAATGGAAATAGAAATCATCAAATAGGGCTCACTCATAGTTATACCAGCACACCTATAGAAATCTTGTGACCTTTTTTCATTTCTGTCATGATGAAAAAACAAAGAACATTTCTCTCATATTGACAAGTATAGGAATTCCTATCCTTTGTTCTCTGGTTCCTGTTTCTTTTGCCTTGCTTGGGGACCCTGACCCCATCCATTATTCTCTTTCCCTGTAGAATAAATCCTTATATCTTAAAAACTATTATAATAATCTCTGTATTTCACAGTCATTTCTATTGTACCACCCTCAAACTTCATAAAAGAGTTGTGTCCATTAGCTACTCATCCTTTCTTAATACTTTTTGGATTATACCTTGGGCACTAGACTGAATGGCCTCAATTTTAAAGATCACTAATTACCTTACTAGAATCAAACACTTTTCAGTCCTTAGTGTTTGATATACTTAAGCACACTTGTCATAAAATAATTTATTATGTAGGCTTCTTTTCATTGTATTTATGAATTACCTTTGTCTTCTGAAATTGCTCCTATGCAGAATTCTTCTCTTACACATTCATTCAAACCCTTATCTCAGTATTCTATTTGAGGTTACTTCTTGTCTTAATCACATACTTTCACTGGATGAAGATAATATTATTAGTTTCAAGTACAATCTGTTTACTGTTAATAAAATCCAGCCAAAATATCTCCCTAAATTTGAGGCCAACTATGTACAGCCTACTGGATGTACTAATAAGGTAAATAACAACTTTTTCCCCAGAAAATATGTTTTCGAGTTGTGTATTTTTTTTCTCAGTACTTGCAAAATTCTGTCCAGTCAATTGTCCTGGCTGAACACCTGGGATTCCTTCCTAACATGTCCCATTTTCTCAGCACTCTCCTATGTAATCAAAATAGTCCTTATTAATAAGGAGAATCATTTATGGGGCCCCATGTGTTCCCAGAAGTAATTTCTTTATTTTCTATGACTGGCCCATCTTTATCTGTGGCAACCTCTGGTGTTAGAAAAATTACTTCAACTTCACAGTTAGGATATCTCCACATTTTATGGCTTTAAAAATTTTTAATTAAATGTCAGTGGTGAGTTTTCTTTCTCCAGTGGTTTTGCCTAACCCCTTCCTAGGATGGTATCTGGGAGAAAAGAGAAACATGGAACTGAGGAAGGAATCTTTTACCTAACTACTGCCCTCTAGATATATGAGTATCCATAGTGTAAAATGTTGACCCAGTCTTATCTATGGATATCCTGTTTTGGTATATACAAAGAACATGTGGTTGATTGATCTACTCACTGCTCTCTGCTGCTGAATTCCATGACTCTGAAAGAGTATCTTTTCATGAGTTTCCTCTATTTTGCAGCCTTCTTCTTCCTATATAAGACATGTCCAAGATCTATTCTAATTCATTAGTTCTTTCAGAACCTCTGTATCTATTCATCCACCCCCACATACATTCCAAGAGCCCAAACATTCTCAAACCTTGCTGTATGTTATGTGACTCTGTTATGCTATTTTGGTTCCTCCTTCAGCCATCATTAAATTAGTTCAATGGTTCTCAACCAAAGTTGATTTACTCATCAGAGGACATTTGAAAATGCCAACAGGCATTTATGATTGTCATGGCTAGAGCATGGTGCTACTGGTATTGAGTTGGTAGAAGCCAAAGATACAGCTAAACACACTACAATGTAAAAGTCAGCACCTTAGGAAAAAGAATATGTGGCCAAAAATGTTATTAATAGTGCCCGGGTTGAAAAATTCTGCTTTAGGGTGTTTGTACTATGTAGGACTGGCATTATACCAAATGCTGTCCTTCTCTGAGAAACTTCTAGACTACCCAGGCTGCCTTAGAGTAAATGGGGAAACTAGTCCCAATATTCTTCACTGATTGACCTAAACCTAATTAAAATTTCCTATCAGCTTATGTTTTTCTCTACCTCTTCACTCCAGTGGAACTCCTGCAGTTCTCTTCAATATTTTGTATTACTTTTCAACAAAGCCAAACCTTCAGGCCTATTGTTTGGCTATCAAATTTAGGATTTGACCTTGAACTTCAAAATTTAACAACTCTTTCTTTGATTTAGGTATTCCGTCTCACTCCACTCACTTGGCTGCAACCACTAGTGTCTCACGGGTCTCATGCACTTCAAGTCCACTTATGATGAGCCAGCACAGCCACAGGAATTGCCCAAGGACTGCAGCCTTTGTGGCAAGACTGCCTTACAAATTTCATCCAGGCCCCAGGCCATTTTTTTCAGCTGGTGGTGGGGCTAGCTGAAACTTGGGTTTAAGAGCAGATTTCCCTCTGGCTGGGCTGGTCTAAATGCTCCCTCCATGAGCTCTGGCAGAATTCTGCTCTGTGCTGTGTTTCCCTGTGACAGTGTGGCCCTGGGTTCCAACGCACAGTCCCGTAGTCACTTCATTCTCCCTCTCTCAGGCACACAGATTCTCTCTCCAATGGGGAGGGGCTAGTGTAGGCAATGCAAGACTATTTTTTCTGCCCTCTTCAGTGCCTTCCTCCTTGATGCAATGTTAAACCCAGGTACTATAATAGCTCATCTGATTTTTGGTTCTTCTGAAGGTGCTTCCTTGCATGGATAGTTGTTGAATTTAGTATTTGTGAGGAGGGACAGTTGCTGGAGGTTTCTATTTTGGCCATCTTTCCCCACTTGAATCCAGATTGTCTCTTTGGAAAATATTTCTTGCCCATTGTTGAGTCTCAGTATGTTTTTACTTAAGTAGTTATTCCCACACATGGCTTTCCCACTAATGCCAAAGTATCTTTATTATTACAAACATTTTCACAAACTTTAGACTCTCTTTTGATAGGTGGACCACAGAATTCACAATCATTCAGATGGGTTATATTTCAGTTTCTTATCAATCTAAATTATTTAATTGTTCAAATTTATTTAATAAATAGTTTCAAAATTTCACACATAAACCTAGGTATCTTATAGTCAAAAGAGATAAATTCATCAATAAATTGATTTCTGGAATTAGAGAATGTTGATGATTACTTAAAGTTATTCAAATAAAGAATATCTGATTTTATATCAGCAAAACAATTTCTTTTTTTTTTCCAAACAAAATATTTTGAGAAACTAGGTTTTTGGGGACTGGAACATCTCAAGTGACCCCTGGAAGTTGGACCTCCTGGTCATCATGAAGCAATGCAGCCTCAACTGGTAGCTGCTGTAGGCTCTCTTTCTTGCCCACAGACAAGCAGCAGTCAGTGACTGTCAGTAATCACCAACTACTGAGTTTTTATGGTAAATAAAATCAAGTGTTTTGCGAATACCTATAGAAGCTCCTGTAAGCAGATTAAAAACTACTGAATTAATCTAAATTCTGTATTTTATAAGATAAGGTATTAAGACATATGTATGATGAATTGACTTATTAAAGATTAAAGTATAACAGCAGGACTCTTTCCACCATATTATTCAGCATATCCTTTGACAGTCGCTGCATGATTACTATGCTAAGAGAATTATGAGTTATAAGATATTTAGTATAGAGAGATAAAATACAGGTCTACATGATATTTTTCTTATGTCACATATATTCTTATGTTTTTAGGGGGCTAATAAATACCACTGAACTCTGATGCTAGGAGAAATATTACTTTCTGCCATTGTGGTTATTTCATAAAATCTCATGAAGAAATCTGTTCTTTGTGGTATATTCTCCTTTAACTACTTCGGAAAGATTTGAATCTTACTGAAAAAGTAATCAACCTATAATACTCCTAGTTCCTGATTGGACAAGATATCAACTTATTTAAATAGAAAGTTTATATTGTAAGAGGAGAGAGATAAATCTTTCCTAACTAGAAATATTGAATTGAAAACAAGTGGGATTCAATAAAAAGAAGTATTTTTCTATAAAGAGTTAAATTATTTCTAACAGTTTTTTGCTATATGTCTTTTTTCATTTATTGTCATTATGTATATTGAAAATGTTGCACTTTTTGTGTAAATTGATGAAACAATGCACAAAATAAAAATTGAAAGAAGGGCAACCATAGCAAAAGCTTAGCATTAGCTGCAAGCTATTTCCCACCTTAAGATGTAGTTATAACATTTTCAAATCAAACTTCTATGTTTACTGTGCTGTGCTTGGCTTCTCACCCTTTGCAATTTACTTTAGATATTCAGCCTTGATATATTTATCTGTAGCCACTAACCATCTCATGATTCTTACTTCATATCATAAATTTCTCAAGTACATTAGAGAGTTCAAGAGAAAATGGCAAGTCTTAGGAAAAAGGATCTAGGCTATGATATATATTTTAAAAAACAAAACTCAAAACCTAACATAATACAATTTACCCAAGTTTTATATTGTTTTTCTTTAACA